ACTAAAGGTGGCCAGGGCAGGCATGGGGTGGCCAGAGCCAGCACGGGGGTGGCCAGAGCCGGCAGGAAGGTGGCCAGAGTAGGCCTGGGGTGGCCAGAGCAGGCATGGGGTGGCCAGAGCAGGCACGGGGTGGCCAGAGCCAGCAGGAGCTCCCAAGGCTGCAGACCAGCTTCCCAGAGGGAAGTGAGGGCCACGCAGCACCCGCCTCAGCACCACCCCGTGGGTGTCACGGATCCTGGGACACCCTGAGCGCCGGGTGCTCAGCGCGGAGGACAAAGGGGCACTGGGATGGCAGGGCTGTGGGCACCCGACCCTTTCACTGAGCCCTGGGGTGAGCTGGGAAGCGTTTGCCACTCACCGCCGGCACGGGTGTCCATCACCTCCTCGGCCCCTTCCCCACCTGCACGGAGCCGAAAGGAAAAGGAGCTCAGGGCGACGGAGACGGGGGCTGCCCAGGACCACCCACCCCAATGTGGACTCACAATTCCAACCAAGCCCTTTGCACCCACGGGTGCCCCGTCACCGGGGATGCTCACAGTGCCTGTCGTAATCCCGGCAGCAGTTGCGGTTCCTCTCGCAGGCGGCGTCGCAGTGGCACTCATCCTCCTCGCTGTAGGGCTCCCGGCAGCGGCCCTCGCAGGAGTCCGGCGCCGTGTACAGGTCTTCGGGAGAGAGAAACAAGAGGGGGGGTCCATGGGATGGACTGACCACCCTGCCCCCCTCCAGCATGTGCCCTGGGACCATCCTTCCTTCTGCTCACGCTCCCCTCCTGGGAGAGCCTGAAGGACCACCCTGGAGCTATCTGGGATGCTTCATCAGTGTTTAGGGGTGAGTCCTCAGGATGCCCATCGCCGTGGGTCACTCTTCTTTGGCCATGGATGTCCACCACGTCAGGGCCACCTCACACCAGGAAACTCGTTCTTGGCTCCCCACCATTAATTGCTCCGTCTGATTCACCCTCTTAATGCCAGGCTCTGCGGGAGTGCCCCAGGTCCCACCATCTCCGGGCTGGAGGAGAAGTGCCACATTCCAGACACTCTTATTTGCAACCCGACCGTTGCTCTTTCTGCAACGCTGGGAAAACTGGGAACTCCTTCCAGAAATGTTTATATGACAAAGGTGTTGTCGAGCAGGTGCTGGCCATCAAGCGAGGGGACCGAGATGTTGGGTTTGTACTGAGACCCAACACCCAGAGGCTGCGTGCTTAGGGAAGGTGCCTTATCCTCCCCATCGCTCCATATGGGAGGAACTGGACAGCTGGCAGCCTGGGCATGGCCTTCTTGGCACCCCTATCCTCCAGGAAGGTGACTATCTCCAAGGACGTGCTGAGAAGCTGTGTCCCAACCAAGCTTCCAGCGTGCAAAGCGATCCCTGGGAGGAAAGGGTGGTGCTTTCCCTTGCAAACCTGCAATCACACGACATCTTAAACACCACTGGGTTGCCCGCCTTGAACTTCAGCAGGTGAAACGTGCCCTCGGGGTGAATCCTGATCCGGCAGGAGAGTGATCTCCAAGCATCGTGCTTGGTGGCTTCTCTCAGCACCTGCGTTGCTTGAGCTGTTGTTTCGTGTTTGACCCGAATTATTTGTACTTTCAGAATCGCATAATCAAGGTCCCGTACGTGCTGATGAGAGAGGAAGAACCTCTTTGTCCCACCAGCCAACCCAGCCCAGGCTGGTTGGTCATGCTGCGAGGGAATGCTGCCAACGTTCCCGAAAATCCACTTTATAGCAAGAGGGGTGTCAGTAGGAAGGGGTTACTTGAGATAGTCCTGGAATCCATCTGCCCTTGGTGCTATTTCAGTCCCACCTTTGCTTGTCCTGATGGAAGGGTGGGCTGCGGAGGGAAGGGGAACCCATAGTTTGGGTGGTGGGTGATGCTCATGGTGTCCAGACACCCCGGTCTCATCAGTCTACGCAGCAAAGCAGCCAAGTCTGGAGCTCAGATGGGGTTGGCAGCTGAGATCCCCGTCCCCAGGATGGCATCGCTCTCGTTCCCAAAGCGGCAGTTGGGATAAGTCAGCCTGAATCACGCATCCAGGCTCGTTTTCCAGCAGCAGTCCCGGAGGGATTGTGCAAAGCAGGAACTGCCCACGCATAAGTCATTGCTGAGACGTTCCCAGTCCCGGGGCACGTGCTGCTGGCACGTGCTGCAGCCAAGCACTGATATCTCAAAGATCATCCACTTCCAACCCCCCTGCCATGGGCAGGGACATCCTCCACTACACCAGGTTGCTCCAAGCCCCCGCGGCTTTGACCCCTCCCGGGGAGGGGCCGGCCACAGCTTCTCGAGGTTTTCCAGCCAGACAAACACTTCTTTCTCATTTTTAGCCCTTCAGCCAGATCCATCCCACCCCCAGCACAGCTTTTTGGACAAGAAGAAACTCATTTTTGTTTCCACCAAAAAAGTTTTGACCAAGAAAACGTG